TATATATATATATATATATATATATTGCCAATCTTATTGCCGTTTGCATAGTCTGTAATTGTAATTGCCTAAATTATTATTACATGCTAAGTAAAGGCTGTGGAGAAAGGCACTCATAATAGGCCGAAGTACTCCTGAGATTTCAACCTGAAATATCATGAATCATTTACCTTATTATTATTATTATTATTACTATGATTGTCTTGTAAATTCTTATAATTCCTGTAATGATTTAGTAGATATTTTGATATTGGGTGTTTCGTTTTCTTTTCGTATTCTCTTTCTTTGTTTTGGGCGTGTTGCGTCTTGTGTTGAATAGACTTTTCTTACTAAAAGCTTGTAGAAAATTGGATGGAGTGTGTCTGTGATTACTTTGATAGCGCGATGCGATGCGATGCGAAAAGTAAAGAATTGCTTTAATATATAAAAGAAATAATTTATTTTTACATAGTTATGTATGTGTTCGTAGTATTCTTTTTCTTTTTCGTTTTATTCCGCTTTGTTACATTCCATTTCACTATGGAGACATACAGTGTGCGATAGCTTAATATATGTTTGCAAAACTTGGGCACTGTAGTAGAAGTAGGTAATTCCGTATTAATTTGTTTTGTTTTAGATAATATCACACAGTGAGACAGTATTATTTACTGGATGACGTTTCGAACACAATTTATTATTGTTCATAATCATATCAGTTATAACCACCCAACTTCGAAACTTGAGTTTCATAGTTTTCTTTATTCCTTTCTATTCGTCGTAGAGGTTGTAGAATATTTCAGACGTCTGGCATAGCTGTTAAATCATTCTTATTGCATGTATCTTCAGTTGATTCGATAAATAAAGCTTTCGTTTATCAATCTCTCTCCCTCCACCCTGTTAAATTAGATTTTAGAAGTTTCATCTTATCCCATCCTATAGTATGGTTGTGTGTAATTGCGTGTAGTGCTACAGCTGAAATATTCTCTCGATTTCTTATCGTACTAGGGTCAACTAATCTAGATTTCGCTAAGGTTTTGTGCTGCGTTAGTCCGACTGTCCCCATCCTACTACTTTGACTTATGTATTTGATGTGAAAATCATTGCAGGGTATTAGGTGAACTAAATTATTTTGTTTAATGTGTTCCACAGGATCCTTTAACGCACATAATTTGTTTCTAATTGAATTTGTGGGTTTGAATGCCACTACTATTCTTGCATTGTTGTGAACTCTAAGTAAGGTTTCCGAGGTTGCTTCTTAATATGAAAGTACTACTGATGATTTAAATTCCTTATTGTTGGCGCTGTCATTATCCTGTGTGTCATGTCAGTATTATTAGTAGTATAACTAACATTACTATTATTATTATTATTATTATTATTAATTTTGCTTTTATTTTTTCCTACATACATCCTAAATTAATTAATTTATCAGGGTAGTTGATAATCGTTAAAGCTTATCTTATATGCCTTACCTCCTGCCTTAGATCTTCCTTGTTACTGTTTAGTTTTCCCACAGTTAAACTATTGCACTATAATTTATATTATATTATTATTTTTCCTTTAGTTCCTAGAGGAACATAAGGCTTCAGCCGCACGTTTCCATTGAGTCCGGTTCTCCGCCAACGTTTTCACCTGGCTTCACGTCTGCTCATATGCTTTCATCTTTTCTTCATATGACCTCCTCCATGTCACCCTCTAACTGGCGACCAATTCGCCGCTTCCCCTACGGGTTCCACTCGAGAGGTGGCATGGCGTGTGATGTCACTTGATCGTTTGTTTTCTCAGAGTGTCACCAATCCACCTGCATTTCTTCCTGCATATTTCTTGCACAATCGGTTCCTGCTGGGTTGTTTCGCTCCCAGAGATCCCTGTTGCTTATGTTTTCGGGCAGGTCATCTGATCTTGAGTACTGAGCGAAGAGAGCTGCTGATGAAAGTCTGTAGTTTGTTCGAAGTGCCCTTCGTGACGCGGCGCTGCGCCAAGTCTCTGGTTCGTATAGTAGCACTGACTTCACATTGGAGTTGAAAATCCGGATCTTATTTTTCATGCTGAGTGCCGAGTGTTGATCTCCACACAGACTTGAGAGAAACAAAAGCTTGGCTTGTTCTCCCGATCCTCACTTTGATATCCTCGTCAGTTTCGCCTGTAGTTGAAACGATGCTGCATCACTAATTGAAATCAATTCGAGAATCATTGAAAAACAACGATCACTCACCAGGTGTTTCATTCTAATTAGGGATTCTTCAATACTGCTCACCCACTAGTACTATCTAACTGGAGAGCTTCATGTTATGGGTTAGACTCGTTCAGTATTGAGCCATTGAGTCAGAATTCAAGGACGTGTGAACTTCGACTACTGCTAACCAATGCCATTAGATAAAAATCAACCTTAACATTTTTGACATGGTAGAATCTCACTGACCACGACTTCTTATTAGAACAAAATCCTTACAAAATCTGAGATGATTGTCAATTGTCAGCCAAGTGTTGCTGCATACAGAACTGTTGAATAGTAAAAATTCCACAAAATAGCTTTATATATATATGTGTGTGCCAATTAAATTAATGACTGTTCAAAAACAGTCTGGTGACTATAGATTCTGCAGTAGATCCTTATTAGCTACTGATAAATTGGTCTGTGTAATTATATGGCCTTGATGTCCAATTGATATATGATTTCTGTGTCTGTTCATGTTTTTAATGATATATTAGAGTGGTATGTATTAGAGTGAACGCTTTTGAATGAAATATATTATCATCAAATCAATTATTACTCTGGAAAATTTCATTTACAGGGGTATTTTATCTTTCTTCTAAAATAAGAGAAAAAGAAGCCAGAAGAAAATCTAGTAGCAACTGACTACCAATTACTTTTCTACTGGAATCTTGTTTTTTCTTTGTAGTTTTATTTTTTAATTTTTAGTAAATTTGAGGGGTGTTTACTAGAGAGAGAGAATTTAGGTCTCTCTCTCTCTCTTTCAGAGTACGTGTGTATGAAAGCATGTCAGTCAAAATGTAATTTTGTGTTGAAGTCAGAAGAGAAGAAAGAAAACAAGAGTATTTGCCAACTGAATTCTTGATTTATCATTCAAATTTTTTCAAAACAGAAAATAGTAGATAGAATGAAAAGAATTTATAAAAAATATAAATGCACAGTGACATTTGTCTGCTCTGAGTTGTGAATTAGGTTAATTAATTGTCAAGTCATCTGCTATATATAACAGTTTTCTTTCACTTCACTCATTTATGTGTAATTCTGTTAGTCATCACTGTTTGATACTGTCTGTTTTCAACGTGAAACTCTGCACCTATGTGCAACAGTTCAATTCGCCACACTCCATGTAGCACACAGAGTAAGAGAAAAAGTAGAATAAATGCAAAATAGGGACAGTAGACAGGGATATGAGACAAAATGAATAGTAATAACGAAGAACAATATAGTTTCATTGGAAATTATAAGTCACAAGGAGTGGATGCATCTGCACCAGCCATTGAGAACGATTTTGAGCCATATCACCGATTGTCTCCTTACACTGGTTTTTACCGTCCTGCGGACCATAACCAGGAAGTCTACAGCTTCCTACGTGGCTTAAACCAACTGTTGTGGATTTCATTGACTGGTGCCATTTTTTGGCTTGACCAACACTGGCTCTTTTCCAACCTGACCCTATGTCAGTCAGCTAACAATGCCCGTCGAGAAAGCGATGGCTAGAGATGCAAAACGCATGTATTAGCCATCTCAATCCATGTAGCTTCAGAAGCCCATCGACTGACTTTCCCTCCTCATCTAGCACTCGACTCCTAACCTCAATATCGCTCACCCTATTATACCACTTCACACGGAAGATAGAACGCAGGCACCTATGATCAAAGACAGCTAGTGTTTTCATGTCTTCCACTTTCAATGGCCAGGTCTCACAGCCATAAAGGAGGACGGAGTGGACTGCTGAACAGTACATCCGCCATTTGGTCGATAGCCGGATATCACGTCTACGCCAGAGATGGCGTAAACTGGCATATGCGAAACCAGCCTTCTGTATCCGTGCTGAGATTTCGTCAGCGATCAACCCTCTGGCGTTGGCTGATGCAACTTCCCAAATAAGTGAAGCGGCCAACGTGCTCTACCACTTCACCCTCTATTTCTAAGCTAGTAGTCAGTGTAGTCCAGTCCTGTAACATCATCTTACATTTGGCGGGAACGAATCGCGTTCCGAACATCCGTAGATTGCAGCTCAAGGTGTTCAGAAGACTCTGCATTTTGTCAGTGTCTCCACCTAGAAGGACTATATCATCTGCAAATTCTAAGTCAACGAGATTATACCATGGTAACAAGTCTGATACACTCATTGACAGAGGCAGCAGATGTTGACACTTATGAAAGCACCTCTTGTTATTGAATACTGAAAAGTGTATTGTTGTAGTTAGGATTCTGAAATGTTTAAAACCACCGAAGTGATTCTGATGGATGTTGATTGCGAGTGGAATTCAAAATGCATATTTTATCCTACTTGGGACTCGTCATCTAAGTGTACCTGCTTGTATACTAAATGAGTAATGGTGTTCCTACTGGGACTCCAACCCCGTTATCCGTCGTTTCAAACGTCAGAGCGTTATCCATTCGACCACTTGGACCACGAGAATCCTTTCCACAGTTGCCATTTGAGTTGTCCAACGTATTCATTTATTAGTCACTAGGGTGTTACCATTGTCATATATATAGTTGTTGGTATCGATGTGGACTGAATTCTATCAGTTAAGTTTGCCAAGCTAGGTGGCTTGTCATCTTGGCGCACTCTGAATTGATGTTAGGATAGTTGGATGTGATTGGCAGGTGTCGTGCTTGTTAGAGGAATTCATGCTTCCTCTGGGATTTATGTATTTACTAGAATGGAAACACTATTTTAAGTATTTAGTAGTTCTAAATATCTTAATTGCTTAAATTCTTTTAAAATTGATAGTTTACTGCTATTTCTCAGATAATCATAATTTCTTTGCTTCGTATACATATTTCTCTTTTTTAGGATCATAAAGGAAAATTATATCAAATTGAAATTAGCAGAGATGGACTACGTATTCATCAAGAGTTTGTGGAATCATCATCGACTCACTTCACTTGGTTAGTTTTTACTCTTTATTTTTGTTTAACATTTTGTAAAGAAGAATGTAATTTTTTAAATTTAAATAATACTTTCGCTAAGAGATAAGCTATTAGTCTTTATTATTGTACATCGCTATATGCTGTATATACAGTAGTCGTAACTGGACAGATCTATTCATGAACTGGAAAATACTGTAGATCGTTGGTGGCACAGCGGTTAACACGCTCGCCCACCATGATCATGGTCCGGAGTTCGATCCCCGGCCGGCGCACTCCTTTACCTCGCTAAGCCAGTAACAAAAGAAAGCTGGTAAAGAGGAAATGTCGGGCATGAGGCTAGCAACCCCATCCTGTAAAAATGAACACTGCTTAAGAAACTTCAAGCCTCTAGCTTGAAGCCCTATGTTCCACTGGGAAGGTGAAGGAAAAAATCATCAATCACGGTCTCATCCTTGTTAAGTATCACATATCGACAAGATATTTAAGTGATGTAAGGCCAATTAATTAATATACGCTCTCAGAGATTAAAAACTGATTCCCTGAGGAGTCAAATAGTAATACAACTCGTCTCACAAGTGTATAATCATCAGTGATAATGGCCCTGCTACTCACTGGGAGTGTGAGATGGTGGAAGATATCTAGAACCCAGGATAAAAATGTTGTACAAAAAAAGACCTCCTAGCTAAGGCAGCAAAATGGCTGATTTCTTAATATCATGGAACGTGTTCAAGTAAATGTAATGAACACAATGAAAGAGAAATTTGGTGATATCCGTTCCAGTTCTGAGTTAGTTGCTGCACGCCAGTGTATTCATAAACCTCTCCTGGTTTACCAACAGGCTGTAAACCCGCGAAACTGAAACTTGAATATCTCTTTCTCCCCTCTCTCTCCCTCTATATATATATATAATATCAGAGGTCAGTGTTTTTTCGTAAGATGTCATTTATTTTTTATTTTAAATTTTGATTATAGCTTGATTCCACACCGTATTTCTGGTACAAGCATGGAATTTTCAGCATGTGATATGAGTAGCCCAAATTTAGCAGGCCGACCAATCGATATCAGGTGTGCGTCGGCAGGCAATGGAACTTCGCACCATGGGCATGATCGGTGAGAGTCCTAAACGCTTTGCCACCGACGCACATGATCATCACCGAAGGATAATACAACCGTCGTAGGTGCTATCTAAATGATTGTTGTTAGCTATTCAAGACGTCATGGTGCCCTCTCTTTTAAACTCTAAACAAACGCATTCCACTGACGCGCACCACTCATGCTTCCAGCTAGTTGTTAGACTATAGCTAAACTACACCTTAAATATGGTCAATTATATGAATCTTTTTCATGAAAGATCACATCTGTTTATGCATTATTTTCATGGCCCTTGACTGACCATAGGAGAGTATTCTGATTTCTCTGATGTATTTTAACTCACTGAATTATCTATCATGAAGTAGAATGATGTAATGCTATGTATGAATATTTTTATATTGTCACTTTTTATGTAAAGGTCATAGTTTATAAATTGTCTAATTAAAATAATATTGCGGTCTCTTTTATCGTAATATTTGTCGGCTTATTTCAAACAAATAAATAAACAAAGAAATAAGTGAACATTGACTTTTGACACAGCTGTGTTTTTAAATGAACATGTGTTCATACCCCGTGGAAGAGTACTACTACTACTATTACTAATAATAATAATGATAAAACAATTTTCATTTAATAGATTTGTTTTCACGAAATATGGTACATAACAAAACGATTCCGGGTCAAAAGGAAAAGAATGCACCGATTTGTCGTGCTACAATTATTACAGTTGATTGGTTACAGGGTTTCATCATGAGCTGACATTGGTTAGAGAACCATTGGAAAACCTGCAGGGAGTACTGGACAGCCAATTGTTTCGTCCTAGTTTAGGACTCTTCATCGATACGCACCCACCGGGGCTCGAAACCAGGACCTTCTGGTTACAAGGGGAGCTAGCTCGTAGGCAATTATGTCACTGGGACCCGATCCAGGGGCCAGCCCATTAATTCTAACTTCTGTCAATTCACGACATAGCACAACCGCTAGCCAATGTCTTCGGCGAGTATTTCTTCTCACACCCGACCTGCTGCACCCTACTGGTCACGACTTCCCACTAGAACGAGCGTACTGATGAAGAGTCCCAAGCTAGGCTGACGAAACAGCTGCTCAGTACTACCAGGTTTTCCAATGGTTCTCTAACCAATGTCAGCTCATGATGTAACCCTGTAACCAGTCAACCAAATCCCTACAAACCAATACTTGAATTACAGTTGATTATTTAGGCAAAACAAGCTACTCAGCTCAGTAGTTTATGCGTACACGTCATTCATTCACTTCACACACTGGTGTTAGCCGTAATTGTTTAGGTATTACAGCCTCTTATTATGACATATCTAGAACACGTACACACACATATATATGTCTAACAGTTGCCTTAACCTTAAATAAACTCTATTATAACTATATTATCATCATCATCACCATCATCACTATTCTGTTAATAGGATTTCCTATCGTATTTAAGAGAGAGAGAGAGAGAGAAAGAACGCTTGTGTTTTCCACTGATTCTAATCAAGTTTTTATGTATATAGTTGATTAATAGAGTGTAGGCTGAATAATAAATCTTTATTAAATCGTAACACAAATCAGGCAAGATGCATTGCTAATATGGAATGTAAAATTACTATCTTTGACCACTTCATATGCAAAAATACTTATAACTAATTAATTACAAGTGACGAAATGCAATATCTCACAATAACATGTGAATATATTGTGTTATTACTGTAATTAAATTCTGAGCAATAACACTTAAAATTCATCAACTATTCAGTATTATTGTGAAATGTATCTGCTTGATTTGTTTGACATTTAGTAATTGTGAATTAGTGTTGTTTCGTTTTGTGATGTTAATCACAAAACTATTTGAAATAATGTTTGAACCCGATTGCCAAGGATGAATCTTCCGTTCTCCAAAGCTATAGGTCACGCTTACTGTGTTAGGATTGATGATATTACCATACCTTAGCATGCTTTTGAGGTAGGTGGAGTGAGATTCGATTGCGAGACCTGCGGGTGTTTAAGTCTATCAACCACATCCACACTTGGAGTAGTGGGTAATGGATAACAGTCTCATTGAACGCAAAGAAGGTACGTCGGCATGCTCAGATATAATTTATTGTTGCTTCTAAGATTCTACTAAAATCCGTTACAAAAATAAACGGTTCAAGTGGAGTTTTCAGTCAAGGAATGGGATTGATGGATATGTAATGCAATTTCCGGGAGCATTAGTCACTTATAACTTTGGTCTTTGATTACTTGTTCGAATGTTGACATTTGTCCACTGATGAAATCCACCTAATGGAAATGCCAAATCTATTCTTATCTGCTGCTGCTGGCTGCTGGATTCAACATAGAACTTGGCACCGAGGTGCAGCAGTTCGAGTTGCCACGTTCCAAAGAGCACACAAAGGTAGACAGGAAAATGAGAGAAGAGAATCAATAGAATTTAGATAAGTATAAGAGTGAAACAGAATGAGTAATGGTAGAAAGGAATATGAAAGATTACAGAGACTGAATACATCTGCGCCACTGACAACGATTTTGAGCCATGTCACCTATTGTCTCCAGCCATTGATTCTTAGAGTCCCGAGGGCCCCAACCCGGAAGTCTGCATCTCCCTACCTGACTCAGTTTAACTGTCAGGGATTTCATGGATTGATGCCATGTTTTTGTTTGGCCACCACTTACTCTTTTCCAACCTGCACCTATATCAGCTAGTAATGCCCGTCGGGGGAGGCGATGGTTAGGCATGCGCAGCACGTGACCTAGCCACCTCAATCTATGTAACTTCATAGCCTCTTCGATTGATTTTCCCTCTTTGCCCAACACTCTACGCCTAACGTCAACATTACTTACCTTATTATACCACCTAACGTGAGAAAGAGATCGTAAACATCTGTGGTCAAAAACAGACAATCTCTTCATGTCTTCCGCTCTCAATGGCCACGTCTCACTACCATAGAGAAGGACGGAGCGAACTGCTGAGCAGTACACACGTCCCTTGGTTGATAGCCGAATGTCACGCCTACGCCAGAGACGGTGTAAGTTAGCGAAAGCAGCCCGAGCTTTCTGGATCCGTGCTGTGATTTCGTCACCAATCAATCCGTTGGTGCTGATACAACTTCCCAGATAGGTGAAGTGGTCAACATGTTCTATCACTTCACTCCCTATCACTAAGCTAGGAGTTGACGTAGTCCGGTCCTGTAGCAGCATCTTACATTTTACAGGGGCGAATCGCATGCCAAACATACAAAGATTGCTGCTCAAGGTGTTCAGAAGACTCTGCATTTTGTCAGCGTCCTCCCCTAACAGGACTATGTCGTCTGCGTATTCTAAGTCCATAAGACTATTCCGTGGTAACAAGTCGATTCGTAAGTCGTTAAGTTCAGTTAAGGATACTTCCATAAGCATATCTATGATGAAGTTAAACAGAAAAGGGGAAAGTGGACATCCTTGATGGACACCACTGGTTGTTATCAATTCAGATGACAATTCCCCATAAGCCCTTACACAGCTACGTGAGTTTGAGTAGAGTTCCTTGATTAGTGCAATGTACTTTCTTGGCACTCCCTTCATAGTCAAACATTGCCATAGAACCTCTCGATCCACGGAGTCGAAGGCCGCCTTCAAGTCAAGAAAAATGGCAATTGTTGGACGCCTAAAAGTGTGTCTATGTTCTAGGATCTCTTGGAGAGTGAAGATGTGATCTATGCACCTTCTACCTGGCCTAAAGCCCGCTTGATTTTCCCTCGTTTGTTCTTATCTATTCATTAGTGAAGATTTATAGTTATTTAAGGCAGAAAACTGATACTACTCTAGGTATTTATATGTATTTCTCATGTTTAAAACTGATCCACAAACTTGACAGTATTAAACTCTGGTGTTGAGTTCCATGTTATTGATCCACATTGACATAAATGTCGATTAAATACCCCTTTTTTGATTAGAAATCTAATTGTCACAAAAAGTGTAAGCTTTTTAAATTGGATCAAATTTACCACAATAGTGTAGATTTTTTTTCTTATTACCATCCTCTAAAAACATTAATCAGCTTTAAAAATCATGTTCATTTTCCGTTCGTTCAAGTTGCTTGGTTTGGACGTAGCCTGTGTTTGCTTAAATGTGGATATTTGTTAAACGATACGACTATCTCAGCTGAATCAATCCAGAAACACTATCGGTAGGCTCAACTCCCAGGGGCACGGATTGACCTATTGAGTTTTGAGCTATCTCATTCTGATTGCTGGTCACTATTTTTAGGATGACAGAAGAAAATGTTGAATAAACAGAATAGGAGTTGAGTAATCAGTGTCACATGACACATTCTGCATTTTAATCAACATCATACATAACACATGATTGAGTTGGAATTATCAAGGAAGTCGTTTATTTGACATAACACACAGTGATACAATAATAATAATAGAGCGCAATTTATCGCTTATAATCGTTACCAGTATATATTCAAACGACTTCTCAACTACCTTTATAAAATTTTATTTCCTTCTGTATTTTTAGTGCAGTTTCCATAAATCAAGGGTATTTATGGTGTGATGCTTATTGTTTGTATTTAGAGTTGACTCAGTTAACAAGGATTTGACGTTTAACCTCTATCTCCACCTAATTATATTACTTTTAATACTTTTACTCTCTTCCACGCTATTGTGTGATTACATGCATGTGCGTCGGTGGCACAGTGGTTAGGACTCTCGCCGACCATGCACATGGTCCGGGGTTCGATCTCCTACCGACGCACACCCGATATCTATGGTTGGCCTGTAAAATTTGGGCTACCGATATCCATGCTGAAAATTCCATACTTGTACTGAAAATACGGTGTGGCATCAAGCTGTAATAAAATAAAATAAAATGACGAAAGCTTTTTATGGATTGTTTAACTTCGCAGAGTCAATCATCCTGGCTCTGGCTTAGTTTTTATATTCTGACAGCCTAACTGACATCAATCTTACTGGTTCGACCCATGTATAATTGATCTCAAAGTCATCAAATGTTATTCGGCAGTTCACATTATTTTGTTTGATTGGGTTTATCACTACCGTAAATCGATAAAGTTTATATCTGCGAGTCATTTGTCTGGTTTGAATGTCAGACTAATTCCAGCCTTTTAAGAATTCGATGTTAGGGCCTCTGATAAAACTTATTTATTATTATTTAAATTATTTTCATTACTGCTTCCATCTTTCTTATTGGTCTTAAATTTCGCAGTTTTGAGATCTAAACATATCTATAAATTCTTCACACGTATCAACTCGGTAGCAGATGGAATCCAGTTTCCATTCAAGTTGTAAAATGAAAATAAAGCAAATTAGCCAGTGGGAAATGCACAGTGTGCCCACTCTACTAAAGTCGAATATTCTTGAACTTCAAACTCAGTTTCCTGGATATGTTTTTCATACACTAGGCTATGAGCCACACATATTTGAAATGTAGACATACTAGGTCTAAGTTTACTTAGATGCGACGGTATTCGAACTCAGAAGTAGTTAGCTATAAGGGAAATGCCTAAACCAATGAGCCTCATCTGTAGGATTTAATTACCCATTTATTGATTAGGTAATCTTTCTCAAACCCTGAATATTCACTACTTCTGATATGGCTGGTGATGTGCCTTAGTAAATGGTAAGCTATGCAAACTTATTGGACAAGTGGGAACATCTCTGTTCACGACTTCATCAATAGCATCGATACGTGAGGAGTAGAAACAAAAGCAATTTTTCAAGATTTCTCAAGCAAAATGATGTCTTCTCACGAAATATGCTTCGAAATTGCATTTGAAGCATCCAACTTATTATAGGATAAGTTACAGGATTTCATCATGAGCTGATATTGGTTAGAAAACCATTGGAAAACATGGGAGTACTTGACAGCTGTTTTGTCAGCCCAGTTTGGGACTCTTCAGTAGCAAGCACCCACCGGGGTCCCAGTGGCTTAATAGTCTACGAGCTCACCATGTAAATAGAAGGTCCTGGGTTCGTACTCCGGTGGGCGCGTACTGCTGAAGAATCCCAAACTAGGGTGACGAAACAGCTGGCTGTCCAGTACTCCCAGGTTTCCCAATAGTCCTCTAATCGATGTCAGCTCATGGTGAAATCCTGTTACCAATCAATCAAATCCCTACAAGCCAATACTTGAATTATTACAGGATAATTACATGCCATAACTAGTTTCCACACAATCCTCCTAATAACATCCTCATTTTCCTAATATTTCCTTAATACCTAGTTTGTTTCTGCGTAAAAGCAAAAATAAACAAAGAATAAATCTTCCTCTAGTTTGTACTTCCTTTCTTCTCATTATTATACTATTTTTTGAGAATTTTTAATTATTTTTAAGCCTTATCTAATTTTCCTGTGTAATTAGTTCAAATGTGCGTGTACGCACATGAAATGGAATTTCCATTTTTCGTAAAAAAAAGTTATCAAATGAATAATAATAATAATAACTTTACTCTGAAAAATTCATCTGTACACAATACAGAATTTTCAGCGAATTTCATTGCAAGGTATTTATCCCTTGTGAAGAATCTTGAAATACTATAATAAACGGATTATATGTCGTGTAATGAAATATTGTTCTATCCGGACCATACTCCAATACTACCTCTTCCTCCTCCTTCAAAAAACAAAAACTCCTAGTGGTAGGCAGAAACTTATTTGAAATTGTAGGTGAGCATAGATTTCAACTTATTGAAACAGAGTAAAGTCGATAGCAAAAATTGACTATCCCAAAGATTTAAGCTGGCCGCTGTCAGAACCGAGTTTACCTCTTTGTATCACTTATAATCTAACTAGTTTGATCTCATAATAAGATGAGTACAAATACATTTCTATTCTCTAATTTATCGGCCATACTTGTTTTATATAGGTTGATAATAATACGTTGTGATGATATTAGATGGTTGCAGGTAATCGACAGAAAGCCTTGGACCCAGGTTTCGTGCTAGTTGGCACTCATCAGCAAGGCGTATCTGCAACCTTGAAGGAACTCATGTCCCTTTTGAGATTCGAACCCCCGTCACCCAGTGCTGTAGTCGGAGACGTTACCACTGAGCTATTCGGGCTCTTGATTGACCTCCCGTAGGACTGTAGTGGATATTTTGATTTGACACTAGTAACTGGTGTGATGTGTCTATTACTTTCTTTGGTGCAGACTGAATTCTATGAGTCAGGTGTGCAATGTGGTCACCATTCTAGGTAGCTCGCCATCAAAGTGTACATTGATTTGACGATATAAGATGGTGTCCAATCAAAGTATCCACTACAGTCCTACAGGAGGTGGTAACTTCTCTGACTGCAGCACTAGGTGACCGGGGTTCGAATCTGAGAAGGGACATGAGTTCCTTCAAGGTTGCAGATACTTCTTGCTGACTGGTGAGTGCCAACTAGCACGAAACCTAGGTCCAAGGCTTCCTGCCGATTGCCTCCAACCATCTAATATCATCAAATAAATGTGCACCGTGATGGCGAGCTACCTAGAATGGTGGCCGCATTACAAACCTGACTGATAGAATTCAGTCTGCACTAAAAGAAAGGACTAGACACATCACACTAGTTACTAGTGTCAAATCAAAATAATACGCTGTCTTGTAGATTTTACTATATGTACATAAATTTGATAGTTGATAGTCGATGATACTGAAATCTAGAAATTTTACACAAGTTTGCTTTTTTGACCAATTCGTAGAACAGTTAGCGATAGACTACCGTGTATTGCTGATATGAAACACAAATTACTGATTACGTAGAACCTGATTTAATACTGATTTGATGCTGGCTAGCAGTCGGTGCTATGACTCATGTTTTGTCCTATTTGGAACTCGTCAACTGAATGTGTCTGTATAACATTTTTGAAGTTTTTAAGCTGTAATGAAATCAATCAGTTACCACTGGTGGTTCATTTTGTCGTGTACGCAAGTGGGAATTCTTTTTAAAACTATGAAACTTCCCAGCAGAATAAATAACTGAATCATTTCTTATGTTGTTGCATCATTTTCTACACTTTCAGTTTCTTAATGGAACCAAACCTGTTAAGTTGATGCTTTTACCTGATAGCATCTTTTCTTTGTTGTGCGGATGTCAACTGTTGCTTAGTCATACCAGATTCTGTGTCGATAAGCAGAACCAAATGAAATTGCTATTTTGCTATATATAACTTTTAGGGTACAAGTTAATGCATAGCTATATATACACAGTATCAATACATAACCTGTATATAATAATTCTAATGCTTTTATATATTTGTGATTTATTTTACTTTTAAAAAACAAACAAAATATGGTCAACATCAAAACCGAAATGAAACAAAACAGGCAAGATATGGGTAACGCTAGTGCAAGTCGTTCAACTGTAACACTACCAGTTTACATGACTGCTGACAAAGTAAGTGTTGGTCAAGTATTGAACTTATCTTATTAAAGATATCATGATTTCCGTCTGTCTGTTTCATCGCTGCAATTTTTTTTACACCGAATTGCTATTACACCTTTATGCTGTACTGTTGCATATCTGTTGTTAGTAAAGTAAAGGGATAGTATTTGACTAGTGACTGACTGAGTTTTAACATAGAACTTAGCACAGTAGTGTTCAAGCTGCCACACTCTAGACAGTACACAAAAGTAGACAAAAGAAAGAAATAAAGAGACTCGGAAGGACTATGATAAGCTGAAATGTGAGGGAGAAAGAATAGTAACGTGAAAGAAACAATGCGGTATAGTGGATATGAAAATTGACAAAGAGTGAATACATCTGCTGCGTTGAGAAAGATTTTGAGCCATATCACAAACAGTCTCAAGCCATTATCTGTAAGCATCCCCAGGACCTGAACCAGTCAGTCCACGCGTGGTCACCTCAAATCAACAGTCAAAGCCGTCATGGACTGATGTGTAGCTTTGCAAACTCATTAATTTATTTTCACTACCTAACACTCAACGCCCAATCTTGTCAAAGACAGCAAGCCTCTTCATATCTCCCACTTCCAATGGCCACATCTCACAGCCACAGAGGAGGACAGAGCGAACTGCTACGCAGTACACATATCCTTTGATCGGTAGCCAGTAGTGACGTAAGTTGGTTAACGTCATGCGAGCCTTTTATGTCCGTGCTAAGATTTCGTCAGATTTCAGTTCACTGGAGTTGATGCAACTTCCCAAATGAAGGAAGTGGTCAACATGCTCTACCGTTTCTGCTCCAATCTGTAAACTTGTCAGTGCAGACCAGTCCTACGAGCGAATCTTGTGCTAAACACAACAAGATTTCTTTTCAAGGTGTTCAGAATACTCGATATTTTGCCAGCGTCTTCACCTGGGAAGACAAAATCATCCACATACTCTAAGTCAACAAGACTTATACCCTGGTAACAAGCCAATAATCCCTAAATCACTAAAGTCAGTTAGGGTCAATCCAGTTAGTACACTTATGATGAAAATAAACAAAAATAGGGCGAAGAGGACATCGCTGAGGGACACCATTGCTTGTCATTACTTCAGATGAAAACTCCCCATAAGCTCTTATACTGTTTTATCAGTATCTGACCATTACTTTTTATCATAATCAATTATAAAGGCTTTACATATTACTGCCGAAGGTGACTAGCAGATTGCTACGATACATTTGGCTAATATTTTATTATTGGATAAAGTTTATCTGACTTGTTATTAATCTATTTTCACCTGATTATAATCAGGGAAAGATATTACTGTGCAGATTTTGTCATGGGCCGACGTCATTTAGAAAGTTATTGAGAATCAAGAATCTCTGAACAGCTGCTTTACCCTAGTTTTGGACTCTTAAGGTTCTAGATTCTAGTGAGAAGTTATAACTAGGGTTGGGTGGGGTTACTCACAGATTGCATTAGTTGAAAGTATTGCCATACCACGAATTGATATAAGTTAGAATGTACAGGTCGTTGATTTTTACTAACTCAGAGGTTGGAAATGTCAACGAGCTCGCGTCGTAACTAGTAGGTTCAAGTCGGACTATGGATGAGTTCTGCTGAAGAGTTTCAAACGAGGACACAGTAGTTGTCCAGTACTTCTTGATTTTCATTGATTCCCTACTCTGAAAAGTAGCTACAAGGCCGAAAGTTTAAAAAGATATTCATTTGTTAGGTTTGTAAATGTTAGAGTAGTTTTAATCACTAACTGGTGGTATAATTTTTAAAAATACTGACAACCAAAGTTTACTGGAAAACCATTTCATTCTAATATAGTACTTCTTACTCTAGAGCTATGTACGGCTCAGTCTGGTTAGAACTGGCGAACGGATTTCTACCCAGTGTTTAAATGATAATGTGCTTACGTAATACGTGATCTACCGAGTATATACTTGTCTTTTCACAGCACATATTAGCTTACTGTTGAAAATTCCCGATAAAAAGAGAAAAGCTATGAAAAGTACTCCTTCCTTTCCACCGAATTTTTCCGACTGATATAAACAAATTTTTGGATGAAATCAATCTTAAAAGACAGATTTTACATGTTTTAGACATTGACTTGGTGCCATAAAATGTTACCTTTTTGATTGCTTTGGTGTGTGTTACCATTTCCATATCAATCAGTTTGCAAACGCTGTTAACATTATATTATTGTATACGAAATTTATTACGTGGGATGTTTACTAACTTTGGAGAACATATATTCTGTACTGCATGTAAAAGGCGTATATATCGCATTAGAATCTGTTATTCACCAATAAATTAGGTCATAACCACTTCTGATTAATACTTATTGACTATAAACTAAAGTTGCGCAGTAGATTAGTGTTATGTGTTTAGACTTCGAGTATGCATTCTTATTGTTAAATAACATTCAGCCTTAAACGAAATGCATAAAAGGACTTAATTAATAAAGCCATTCATTTCACAAATCCTTAGCTTTCGAACTGATCATTGCTCATAAAATGGCGACTTACGGTTTTATGCCGGTTATATTGCAAACTCGCATAGTTATTGGATGGTGGTACTTGAATCCAATATCTCCAGGTGTTGTTCTTAAGTCCGATCATTAACCGACTTCATTTGGAGGATCACTGAAAAACATGGAGTACTGTAGAGATCTTGGGTTTAGTTCCTTGTGAAGTCATGAGTGTGTGTTGTTGAAGAGTTTCAATGATTCTCAGAAACTGAAATGAGTTCATGATCAAATTGAGTTCCCTCTTGATTGTCTTCATTGTTGCGGAATGTGCTTGGTCTCCATAAACATATCGGCTCCTATTACGGACGCTCAAATAATGCCGACAAGTAATCGTGACGTTACTTGACTAGCAGTGGAATGCAGGAGACACATTCCATCCGAATAGGCACTCATCAGCTGGGTGCACCATCAGACCCAGTGACTCATAGTGCTCCCTTACTGAGACATGAATGCAGTACCAGTCGTTTCAAACACCAAAGCGTTATCCACTGGCTTTTGACGTTTGAAACGGTGGGGCACGCCGGGTTCAGATCTCAATGGGAACACCACCACTCACGGAAAATGCATGTGCATCCAGCTAGCTAGTCCTGGATTTCACTACTGGCTACCGCTTCTTGAGTTCAATATCGATTATTTTTTGTGTTCTAACGTTGGTGTTTATAGTTTTCATGTAAAATGTGAGGACGTATTCGTTGTTGATCATCAGAAGGGGAAAACAAACGACGTCTAGTCATTTATTATTCAGGAATTACCTCCTTTACAATGTTTATTTATATATCCCCTGCGTTATCCATACTATTCTGATTGTCTCTAGATTATTGATCGTTAATGTGCGTGTGCACATGTGTATGCCTGCTTGCATGTGTGCTTGTGTGTGTAAAAACGAACGTACTAATTATTCAACTATCCTTAAAACAGATCTATCTACGTATAAATCAGTTGAGAGTACTTCAAAAACTCAAACAAAAGAGTAATACTGCAATGGTATTCACTTAAACTCCTCTTCTTATCTTCTCCGTTATATCCATCTTATCGTTCTTCACGTTAATTATTCATTTTCACTTACTTTTCATCTCTTAAGGTCACTAATGTTCTACTGCATTTTGGGATTCTCTTTAGCACTAAAAACAGTACACAAAATAATTAAATAAGTGTTTTCACACAAGTGAATATATTTTAGCTTAGAATATTCACACTGTTGAGCCAGCTGAGTGTGTATGCATTCATGGGATCTTTTCTGTGTTAAGGTTGTATACCAGTGCTTTTTTCTTATTTCTTGTGTTCTGAGTAGAATATAGGACTTCAAACTTTGAAATTTTCGGTAGTGGTGTTGTTTTTCTTTACGGGGTGAAGCTGTCAGTCTTACACCCAACCTTTTATAGATTAGGCTTACCAACTGGTTAGTTAGCTAGGCTAAGTTTAGGAGTATGTCGACCGAGAATGGAAACTGGACCTCCTGTGTATCTGATGGATGTCCTACCATTGAACCACTGACACACTAACTAGTGGTATAACTATTGTTCTCCAATGAAAATAATCTTTTGACTTAAGCGTTTCAAGTATTTGTTTTGTAGGGATTTTTTGTTTGACTGGTTAGAGGATTTCATCATGAGCTGACATCAGTTAGAGAACCGCTGGAGCTCGCCTGGTAACCAGAAGGTCCTGGGTTCGAATCCCGGTGGGCGCGTACCGCTGAGGAGTCCCAAACTAGGACGAAACAACTGGCTGTCCAGTACTCCCAGGTTTTCCAGTGGTTCTCTAACTGATGTCAGTTCATGATGAAATCCTCCAACCAATTAAGCGTTTCAGTGTCCAACATCCCTCTGTGTAAGGTGATGTGAGTGGAACGCTGCTTGACTTTTGTAAATTTAGAAAAAACAAAATGATTGAGCAGAGAATATCCTTTTCGATAATTTCCTCTTCTGGCTCTACAATTATATATTTGTTTGTATATATAATTGTAGATTTTGATCTTACTTTACAAATCGATATTATTTAAGAAACACTAATATCGCTAAAACAATTAGTCCCTTTGATAAATTTGACAAAGGCATTTAGAAGACAAATTTCGCGAGATGATATCATTTCGGAGTTTCTTTACAACCGCTTTACAACTAACCTGGTTACCAATAACAAAATAAATTAATATTGTTATTGACTTCTATTCTAGAATATTCTATGTATTCGAACATATATATATATATATATAATTGTAGAGCCAGAAGAGGAGATTATCGAAAAGGATATTCTTTGCTCAATTATTTTTTTTTGTAACTTTGTCGATGGTAGTGTTGGTCAATACGTGTAAAGCTTTCTAGTTCGTACGTTGTGTATACTATTTCTGACGATTCAAAATGGTAGATATGATATTATTATTATTTCCTTTAATTCCTAGAGGAACATAGGGCTTCAGCCGCTCGTCTCTATTGCGTTCGGTTCTCTGCTAGAGTTTTCACCTGGCTCCAAGTC